GTGAATGGATGCTGCTGCTTTCTGTGATTGCAGACCCACAAACTGACTCACCATTTGCAGCTTTGCTTTGTTTTGTGTATACTTTGGAACAGGTGGGCGATTCTCTTGTCTCTACTTCATCCAAAACATGCAATTTCTACATGTTTTCTAGCTGCTTGTTGGGTAGCGAGAGATGAGGATCCCTTTTTGATTTCTTCAATCACCACCCTTTACTTGATAGGGTTCTTGATGAATTTGGTCGCAGCTCGATTCCTGGTTGCAATAATGGAGTTAGTCCGAGCACATTTTACTAAAAAATACTCCCACCACTTTTTGCCAATACGAAGTCAATTTCCAATGTCCTCAGCTTTCATAACTGTCAACATAAAACTGCGTAAACTAGCAGATGTCCGAACATGGAAATAAGAGGAATTCTTATTCGGAATCACATTAATGTAGAATCAGACATCTCAGAGAATTGAAAAGAATGAAGTTAAATTTAATTTAAAATATCTCTTCTAACATAGGGAACACCGTTGGATGAATTGAGTATCAGGGGTCATGATCATGGAAACACATTAAATTGAAAATCAAATATACTTGTCATACTCAATGATGTAATTAACTGGAGGTAGTTACCAAGTCACCATGAATCTATAAATTAGTAGCTAGAACAGGAAAAGATAGAGAAGATAACAGTTGCTTGTTCAACAGAATATACCAAAACGTACAATCAGGTTACAGTGTTGCACGTTTTGTCAACTGCATGGTTTGTCCAATCCCTGCTCAGACAGAGATGTCTCTGGTTTAAGGCAACTGGATGACTTTTGTCTCCACGCTTACAAAGGCTTCCTCCTGAACTCACCTTAGATGCTCATAAGAGGCAATTGGATAGGCAGACAAGTCCCAGTGAGTTCCCACCTCAATTAAAAAGGCTACATGAGGCAACCATTGCAACTGACACGACAATATGTCACAATCCTGCTTGATTCAAGTGTACTGTTACATAATAAGTAACAGCAGAGAGCTAAACTCAATTTTCACAGAGCAACCACGTGGCATAACGATCTTCCAAAACATAGCACACGCAAAAGGGGCTGTATAAAAATATGACGAAGGAAAAAAGTAAGTGAAAGGAACAAAAGAGAAGCACGTTGCAATCTTGGGTCCCTTAATAGAAAATATAACTTGAACCAACCCATGCACGCTTACATGTGGAGCTCTGATGTTCTCTGCTTTTAATTCTCCAATGTAGCATAACTGACCTTGTTGTGGCTCTTTCAGATAAGATAAGCACACGTCTGCACTTAACTATTCTACAGCATAAAATTAAAAGCTAAAGAGCATGAACTTACATACCCGAATTTGCTGTTCAATCCTGAAAAAAAGTACCAACAAATTGAAGTCAAATTAAGAATATAAGAATTCTTGAAATACATAATTTGCAATTCCAAACAGATTACAGAATTGATTACACAAACAAACTGATAAAGCAGACATACACAAGAACAGCTCAATTTGGCTCAATAAGAAAAATGGATGCAATGGCCTTGTCTATGCATAAATGGTGAATATATTTTGTTATTTACCAGGGGCAATCACATGGCAAAGGAGCACAACATAATATATCTCAAGTTAACAGTATTAACACGAGCTATTGTCTACTAAAAGGTCTAAAATAGATCCAAGTTATGGGTCCCTGAAAAAATATCTTCATATTTAAACAGCAGAAAGCACTTCATCATAGGGTTGTACGTGTAGGATGTGCTCCTTCGAAATAATTTCATTAAAGGTAATAAACTTCCATACAGAATTCAATATGTTCGTACGTGTACAACCGAGGTCATTTTGCATCCATTTCCAAATCAATGTGCTTACAAGGATAAATGCAAGATGGCATGTGAAGAATGACTGATATGATTGATGCATTTATATCTAAAATATAATAATATCTCTACTAATTAATTAATTAAGGCTGATTGTGCATATATCAATGTATACATGTAACCTACTCCAACGACGAGCCTATTTGCATGGCAAACGTCCCACCACAATCTTGTGGGACTTAAAGCCACTCTCCAATATGTCCACTTGATTTGATCTTGACAAAGAACAGCCAACCAAAATCTTGTATCTTTCTCGTTGTTTCTCTCTATGAACATTAATGAAAGAATACAAGATCCTTCTAGCAACCAGTGACTCTCAAACTCCTTGCAATCATGACTAGAGATCGCATTTCCTTCCTATTTCGGAATCATAATCCTCCCTCTAAGTCCCTTTCCCTTTAAATATCTAAATCTATCTATACGTAAATCTTCTATGACAACCACAGCAACCTAACATCAAGCTTTCCAAAGTGATTAAATATGACGGTAAGTCCCCCAACTCTACAAAGTTTTCCAAATTGTTATACAGTTCTAGACTTCATCTATGTCCGTAGTTGCTGCAGTTATTAGGATGGATGCGGCATAAATTTCGGCCACCTAGCACGGAGCCGTTCAAAGATTTCACAATCGGTAACATAACAAACTCACTCCATAACGCTTTTCTTAAACAATCACAACATGTTGTCAGTTCAAAAATCATCACATAATTAACAGTTAAAGTGAAGAACTTATCCTCTAATTGTCTAGCATGGAAATTATACACTAGAAAAGAGTAGTACTGACTAAGTTTGATAATAATGTGAGAATTACAGGTATTTTCTAGGTGATTCCCAACCTCAAGCAAAAAATTAAAATAGGCAGTTCGATGAATGTAATATAGGTGCTGACAGCCATGTAGTTATTGGTCAAAACAATTTAACCTTCATAATTATACAAAATTTGCATGAGCCCACATATTCTTAAGTGGTAACCGGACCATCTGAGCTCTTTCCAAGAAGAACTTTTTTAAGAGGCAGATCAATTAAAAGATGGTATAGATTCTCCATCACGATAAATCGGGCTAACTCGGTCCTTGTCT